TCTCTCTCTCTCTCTCTCTCTCTCTCTCTCTCTCTCTCTTAAAAAAAAAAAGTCAGCTAATAACAAATGTTAGCAAGGACATAGAGAAATTGGAACCCTCAGTGGAAATAAAAAATGGTATAGCCTCTTTGGAAATGAGTCCGGCCATTTCTCAACCCTGGTACACTCAGGGTTACCACTTGACTTCAGTGATTCTACACATAGGTATATATCCAAGAGAAATAAAAACAAGCTCCCACAAAAAAAACATATTTTTGTGAACGTTCATGCCAGCATAATTCATTACAGTCAAAAAGTAGGAACAACCCAAACTACATCAACTGACAAATAAACAAAATGCAGTCTATGCATACAATGGATTACTGAGTAATAAAAAGAATGTCATTCTGATACATGCTACCACTTGGATGGATCTTGAAAACATTACACTAAGTGACAGAAGCCAGTCTCAGAAATCCATACGTCAGTCTCTATTCACGTGAAGTCCAGAATAGAGGTATACAGAAAAAGAATGTGGAACACGGGTTACCTAGGGCTGGGGAGGAGACAGGAACCTAGGGGGACAGGGAAGTGATACCTAAGAAGTACAGAGTTGTTTCTTTTTGAGATACTGAAAATATTCTAAAATGGACTGGTGATAGTTGCACATATCTCTGAATATACCCAAAACCACGGAACTGTACCCTGAATGACTGAGTGGATTGTATTGGTATGTGGATGACAGCTCAATTAAGCTGTTTTTTCAAAAAGTGCTACCTGAAACCCTGAGCCTGTCCCTTTTATGTCTGGGCCTAGTGTACAGAACACCCCCTTCCTTGGAGTCACAGTGTCTGGCCAAGCTGAAGTTTCTCCAGAGATGACCCAACCCTCGGGTTCTCCCATCCCCACCTGAATCCTTCCTCTTCCAACCCTTCCCTCTGCTGTGCCTCGGGAATTCTCATCTGAGAGCCGGGGGCTGGCAAGTGCCCACATTCACTCTCCTCTCGGCAGCTTGGCAGCTTGGCAGCTTTGTCTCGGCTAGGCCCTGGCTTCTCCACCCTTTCCTTCTCTTGTGCCCTGTGTTTTGTCCTGACAAACCCATAGCTAGCAAAAGTGGCCCCAAAAGTGGCTACAGGGGAGTTCCCTCAAGGGAGCGCCCAAACCCCCCTGAGATAAGGTCCGATGGGATTACAGAGAGCAGTGCCTCTCGCCAAGGTAATCAGGGTAAAGCATTTTTTAGGTGAAGTTACTTACAGAAAGGCTGAAGTGTCACTGCAATGGTCAGAGGGCTGTTCTACAGTGAGAGAAGATGTCCTCAGCAACAGGGTCAGGGTGTAGAGTTTATAGGAGGATGTAAGGAATTTAGCCCAGAGCCAGTTTCAGTGCCTTGGGTAACAACCTCAATTTCTTTATCAGTGCGAGATCCTGGGCTCCAGACACCTGAAGCTGGCCAGGTCACACAGCAGTTCAAGGCATTCTGGTCTTCAGTCAGGACGCAGAAAGATAGGGGAACCAAGCGACCCCACAATTTACACCCGGATGGCTCTTACAGTCTCACGTGTCCACCTCTCCTGGGATGTCCCTGAGCTGTAGGAAAGAGTGGAATGGCACATAAAGACCTTTTTTCTAATTATATGAAACACTATAAACAGAACCCACACCAAAAGGAAATACAGATGCATGTTACCACAACCTAAAATCACTTTTTTTTTTCTTTTTGGTACCAGGGATTCAAGCCAAGGGTCTTAACCACTGAGCTATATCCCCAGCCCTTTTTTATATTTCATTTAGAGACAGGGCCTCACTGAGTTGCTTAGGGTCTCACTAAATAGCTGAGGCTAGCTTTGAACTCACAATCCTCCTGCCTCAGTCTGCCGCAGTCTGGCTGGGCACAAATCACAAGTCACTGAAGCAGAAACAAACTTTATTTCTGAACTCCACCAGCACACTCCCCACACGCGCTCCCCAGCAACTCTCCCAAACGCCATGCGGCTCCTCCAGGAAACAACAACCGGAAATTCCTTTTCCAGAAATCCCTTTTCCGGAAATCCCGCCTCCCGCACTTCCCCAACCAATGGGAACTCTCTGGGAATCCCCACAAGAACTCCAAAGTAGCAGGCCGAGGCAGACAGTAAAGGACTAATATACAACCGAATCAATCCAGCATCATCTTAAAGGCTTGCCTCTCAACCAGTACTATTGGCAAAATGCCAGGGGCCATTCCGACTCGGCTGTGGCTCTCAGCATCAGTCTCCCAAGTCACTGGGACTACAGGCATGTGCTACCACACCTGGCCCTAAAAATCACCGTTTTTAAATGGTTTACACAGTGACTCAAGAAAGAATCCTGAAAGCCGACATCAACTCTTTTCTTTTCCATCCTTTCCAAATCTGATTGGTCACCAACATCTGACCATCTTCTCTCCTAATGCCACCTAACTCTGTTCCCTTCTTGAGCCCCCTATGCTGCTGGCTATTCAAACACTATACATTGCTCTTCTGGACTCTGATTTGTTCCATTAACTAAATGGTACAACCTCTCCCACAGGCCTTGGAGATAAATATCTGCACCCTGACCGCTTGGCATTTATTTTTAATAATACAATTTCAGTTTAAAAAAAAAACTACTTACAACATTTTTCAAAAATTTCTCTAATTTTGTTTCATAGTAAAAAACAGATCCTGAAAACAAAGCTTTAACCGTTCATATTACTTTGGGAAAGACAAAACAGAACAAGCTTGCAAAGCCAGCTAAACAAGGCCTTGGGTCATGTAGAACCTGAAGGATCCTAATCTTAACAAGTCACAGGAGATGGTCACCACGGGCCTGGGAGTGCTTTCCTAGTTTCTTTATTCATGAAAATCTAAGGAGAAAAATGGTCACAGCTTCCAGGGTTCCCTGCTTGATTATAGCCATTCTCCAAGGCCACATTCTCCCGTGCCTTGTAGGACCCCATAATATAAAGGAAAAACCTCCAGCAATCTGAATCTTACCACAAGTGTTCCTAGACCCATGACCAAGACTTTAAGGGCCCACAGCCAAATGGGGAAAAGAAAAACAATGTGGTAAACTTCTCATAAAGCTTAAATCTCTCAATTTAAAGGACTCAACTTTATTCTGAGATTATATTTTTCCTGTTGGGGAGGGGTACCAAAATATTATTTTATAAAATAACAGGGCACATATCTGATAAAGATAGGCAGGTGTTTTATCATTTATGTAAAAATCAAAAAATTAGCTATCTTGTACAAGACCCCCAATCTTCTTTTTTAAATAGTAGCAATTCAAAAAGCCCACAAATCTGAGTGCCCCTCATCTCCGTACTCCCTGAATCCTCTCCCAGAATGTGGATTCTGACAGGGTTTTCCTGGGTCCTTCGTTGTACCAACTCTAGTCTGGTAGTATTGGCTGTCTGGAGTGTTAGGAAAGATCCCGAGCACGTGCCTGCTCATTGAGGCAGGGCATGCTCAGCCAAATATCGATGTCTGACGCGTGGCATTGAGGAGGGTGGGAAGGACATGGGAGATGGAACAGAGGAAGAGTGCCATGGGCAATGCATCTGACAAAGAGCAGCCTGGCTTAAGACATGCCAGAGCCCAATATTAAAACCACTTGGTAAAATATAACTGAAAAAAACTTAATGACTTGCTCAGCCCCTTAACTAATAAGTCATCACGAAACACAGAAAGGAAAGTACTACGAGGTCACAAGGGTACTGAGGGGTCAGCAGGGCTCACTCACTACCTCCTGGTCTGTGATTCATTTCATGCTTCAAGGAAACCCCAGGCATTCTGTCCATGCTGAAACTGTTCTTTCCAGGGTCTGCCTGACACCTGGAAAGAATGCTCAGCCCAGTCAGGCTGACCAGGAAAGGGCTCAGCAGGAAGTAGCCACACAGCTGACCAAAGGAAACACAGCCAAAGGCAGTCTTTTTCAAAAAAAGCTAATCTTGTGATCTCATCAGCAGTGCAAAGTCCAAAGATTAACAAAATACTGCAGGAAAACAAAGGCACTGAAGAGTAGGAATAAAAACCAAGACTGGCTTCATTCTAGGAGCAGAGTTGGCAAAGAAGAGATCTCTGTGAAACACATCTGGACTGAAGCAGATTCAAGGTTAGCAAGCTGCTATCTTCATGAGTTTGGAAACGATGAAATCTTTTGAGAATCATCATCCCCATGGATAGCTCTGCTGAGGCTCAGGGCTCTGAGCTACATGCTGTTCCACCTGCCTCCCAGAACAGGAAACGGGCACTGAAGACCCCATCTGAAACAGGCCACCACATCTGGACACAGGGTAACTGACCCCAGAGTCTAGAGCTTGCATATTCTTTGCCCTGGGAGCAAAGTCACCTGTGTGTAAGGCTTTACACAACATTTAGGCAAACCAAGTGCCTATTATAAAGAAATGATTAAATCAAGTAGGACCCAGGCATGGAACACCCTGTAGTTCACAAGATAGGGGTAAATCTTAGAGCTGAGATGGGAAGGGGGCCACATGCACAGAGTAGAAACAGTAACTGCTGAACAACAGGTAGGGCCATTCCACTGAGAAAGTCTGTACATACACGTGACACGTGACCCACTTACCTGCCCACATATGCACAGAAAAAGATCCCAGGAGGATACATGACAAAGCCAACAGAGAGGGAGGGACTTTCATTGTTGCTACTTTATGAATCCCTGGATGGTTAAGAGCTTTTTAAAAATATATATTACTTTTTTATTTAAAATATAAATTAAAAAATACAAATAACATCTACATACATAAAAAGATACAGAGTCATCTTTACTCCTCTTTTGCTGAATCAGGAAAAACCATTTACTAGAAAAGGCAACAGGCTGGGGAAGTGAACCCTGCCTGCCTCCCTCTAGTAGCTTTTGACATTTTTCCCCGCCTTCGCTGGCACATCAGGTTGTATTTTCCCCCCCCAGTTTGGATCAAAAGCAACACTTAATTTTTGAAGCAGGACTGGCATTCGAAAATCTGTAGAGCAAACCCAGATGGAGCAGAAGTGAGAGAAGCCCAGCCCAATGGAAGTCTGGTGATACCAGATACCAACAGCCACAGCTTCCAACTCCACCCGTCTTGCCTTCACCCTCTTTTGGTCTATTATTTACTTATCATTTATCTTCTCCTTGCTTCCAGATGGGCTTGAAGTAGTTCCCAAATGGGTTTAGGGCAATGAATAATAGTTGACCTGAAAAACTTAAATTACTAGCACAGAAAGCAAGGTGCAGAAATAGCAAGAATTCTTTTTTTTTTTTTTTTTCCCCACCAAGATGGAACTGAAAGCAACAACGGAACTTCCTGCCCCTGCCAATGCCTAAACCAAAGCAAATGCTTTGAAGGGCAGGAAGGCAGTGTTGAAAGGCATCCATAGCTGCAAAAAGATCCTCATGTCACCCACCTTCCAGGGGCCCAAGACACTGTGGCTCCATAGGCAGTCCAGATGCCCACAGAGGAGTCCACAGGAGAAACAGGCTTGCCTAGGATGCTATGGACAAGCTCCCCTGACCGGAACCAGCCAGGAAGGAAGAGGACAACAACACACTTCTGTTCCCTGAGGATGTGAAAGATCCAACAGGCTGTGAAGAAGCCCTATGAATTGATGTGGCCAAGGTCAACACCCCATAGACCTGACAGAGAGAAAAGGCTTATGTAGATTGCCTATTGATTGTGATGCTTTGGACACTGCCAACAAAATTTTGCTCATCTAAATAGTCCAGCTGGCTAATTCTATGTTTTGTTTTTTTTTTTTCCACATTAAAAAGAAATAAACCAGGGGTGGTAATGCAACTCCTGTAATCCCAGTGGCTCAGGAGGCTGAGACAGGAGGACTTCAGGTTTGAAGTCAGCCTCAGCAACTTAGCAAGGCCCTAAGCAACTTAGCCAGGCCCTGTCTCAAAATAAAAAATAAAAAGGGTTGGGGATGTGGCTCCATGGGTAAGGCCCCTGGGTCCAATCCCAGGTACCAAAAACAAAAATAAAAACAAAACAAAAAAAGTAAGAAGTGTCTTTTTTAACAGATGCACAGGGATCTCTGTACATTTAGCCATAAGAAAAAAAAACATACAACTGCAAATTATGTGGGGAAAAAAATCACTTGGCAAAAAGCGCACAGTAGTGGTACAGAAAGTATGCATTAGCCTACTATTCATGATGCACTGCCATGGAGAATGTAGGAAATATGATGTAATTCCACCATGTCTTAAAATTCTAGTATATTCCAGATGTATTACAACTGCTTCCAAGAAAGCCCCACTCTGAATGTGACCTCACACCAACACTCCATAAGAACCTTTCTCAGGGCTGAGGCTACAGCTCAGTGGCAGAGCACTTGCCTGGCATGGGTGAGGCACTAGGTTTATTCCTCAATACCACATGAAAATAAACAAATAAAATAAAGGCATTCTGTCCATCTACAACTACAAAAAAAATTTTAAAAAAGAACCTTTCTCATGTCTAAGATGCTAAGGACACTTGGCCTGTTTGAAGACCATCATGAAATCTCCCTTCAAGCCTCCTTTTCTCCTTTCTTTTTTTCTTTTTTTTTTTTTAATGGTACTAGGGATTGAACCCAGGGACACTCTAACACTGAGCATGTGCACATCCCCAACCCTTTTCATTTATTTATTTTTTTTT